AAAGAAAGAAAGAAAGAAAGAAAGAAAGAAAGAAGTTCCTAAACTAACCCTCATGTTTCTAGCACATTCATCTACATACCAAAAATTGCATTGATTCATGGTTGCCAACTTCCCTATAATCTGACTTACCTGCTTGAATTTTAGAAGGGCAAAAAAATTTCAACCTAAAATTTAATACGAAGTAACATTTTATTTGAGTAAGGATCATAAAGAAAAACAATAGTAAAAATAAATTTATGTGCTATTTCACTTTCAAAGTCCCTTCATACATGTTATATGAGCTGCACAATAATCCTGAGATACACCAGAACTGGTATCATTGTCTCAATTTTACAGATGAGGAAACTGCTTTTCTGAGAGAATGAAGGGCTAATAACTATAGACAATACTTATTATAGGATAGAACTCCACCAGAACTTTTGGTACTAAAAGGATGACAATCTGCATTTATCCTTTGTAAGAAAGGATATTGTACTGTTCCATGAGAAAAAGGGAAACATTTGCATAGAAAAATGAGAATTCCTGCTACTTGTGTAATTTGTGTCTACAGGAGGAATTATTTCATTCGTTCTATAACCAATCCTACTACTTTCTAGAAAAAGAAAATTGGTGATGCTGGGACTCAAACCTAGGGCCATCATATGTTAGGTATACAATTCTACCCCTGAGCTTTCATCTCCAACTCGTACATAATCCCTTCAAACTTCTTATACTGTATATACATTCATGAAATACCACAGTGAAGGCCTTTTGAACAATAGCATACATTAGAACAAATGAAAGACAGGAATATAAAAAAGGGTCATATCCAGGATGAACTGGGAGGGCAAATAGGGTAAAAGAGAGTGAATATAGTCAAAAACACTATATACATGAAAATGGCATGATGATACTTGTTGAAAATGGTTTGGAAAGTGGGGAGAAAGTATATAAGGTGTTAAGTCTGATCAAGGTACACTGTATACATATATGGCCAAGTCAAAATGAAATGCTTGTGTATAATTAACTAGGGCTAATAAATATATAATATTATATATATATATCAGTGTGTGTGATTCAAGTTAATTTTTTTCTAATTATTCTTTGTTACTATTATTTCTCCTACCACTTATATAATAAACAAAGACAAAATATTAAAAATTTAGGAAAGAACTTTATGGATCATACCATGTTTCCTCTAAACAAAATTCCTATCATAGTTTACTTAGTGTCAGTTTAGATCGCTTAAACCACATCATTCCCACAGATCATGTAATCTACCATATGAACTGAGTTAATAAATGACAAGTTTTAAGAGTCTTCAAAACTATAGCAGAAGATTTACAACCTGTAATTCCTTACCAAGTACCAAGAGGGTTGAAGAACCACATCATCCATCTGAAATACAACTTTTGATGCAAGATATAAAATATCTCATCTGCTAAATGCTACATAATATGTAGTATATATAACTATATATAACTAACCCTTATTTTATGTAAAACTAATGTTTAACAGTTAGATTACATTTTTTTAATGAATTCAAAAGCCAGGTGTCAGTGGCTCATACCTGTAATTCTAGCTGAGATCTTAGGATCTCAGTTCAAAGCCAGGCAGGGCAGGAAAGTCCATGAGACTCTTATCTCCAATAAACCACTCAGAAAACCGGAAGTGGCACTGTGGCTCCAGCTGTAGAGCGCTTCTTGAGCTGAGGAGCACAGGGACAGCACCAGCACTTGCCTATTTGATGGGCCTATTATGAGAACTAACTAAGAAGATGTGTTCAAAGATGTATGATGCCTCATACATAGTAAGTGTTAACAGAAACAGTAGCATTATGATCATTATTATTAATGTCTTTAATTTTATAACTCAATGTTAAGCATTTAGGTATGAGGTAATGTGTATAACTTTTTATTAGAATCTGGAAAAGATAGTAGTTTAAACTATAGATCTCTTAAAATTCTTTCTGGCTATTCACAGACATCAGAACTATAGAGAGTTAATATTTGGCCTGAAAAAAATGGCATGCCTAGAATCAGTTTATTTCCAAATCACTAACATCTAGTTTAGGATATTTATTTGTGAATTATGACAAACACTAATCCCTGCACAACTGAATCAAGATAGCCCAGTAAAGGATTATTTTACAACCACTAGAAAAATATCAAATCATGTTGTATTCATGGTTACAATCAATTCATAAATACTGATAATCAAATCTGAAACATGAATTTTAATCTTGTCCTAAATAATGGATAGGCTAGAATAGGATTCTAGCCTTTAAAAGAAAATAAAAATATTTTATTCTTAGATACATAATTAGATATATTAGATGTATTGATGGACAATCTAATAAAAGAATGAGTTTTTTTGCAGAACATTGATTTGAATACTAGTAACACATTAGGATATGGAATAAGTGAAAAAATTAGCATAAATCCACATGGACTAATATTAATTTTGTGCAAAATTAAATTCAGCAGTCAAACAGGGATGAAAAAGATTATTTTAAACTTGAAAATGAATTTTCTTTAACACACATTAGAAAATTTAAAGTGCTATTAAATGAGGATTATCTCTTATGAAATATCAGACTATGATTTACATGACATTGGTAATTTTTTTTCCAAGGTAAGGCATTGCAAATTTAAAGGAAAATAAATCACATTCTGAATTTTTTCTTGTCTAATTAAAGAATTTTACTTTAAAGGAAAAAATGATCAAAAAATTCAATCATAAAATAGAACAGAAGGATACCTACACATTAGAAAATGAATGTTTCTGAAAAAAAGTTTCTTTATTTAGTTTAAAGTTATCCGATGTTTTATGATGTAATATCTTGAGTTTTAGAAATGAAATGATCCAGCTTGGTATATTATAATGCTCAATAAAATTACAGTTTAAAGGGTAAATACTCTTTAATACAAAATTCAGTTAAGTTCTAGTTTTGCTGAGATTAAATTACCACATAAGAAGTGTTAAATACATCTTGGAATTAATACTGAAAAATTTTAGTATCTCTTTTGATAATTTTATCTAAAATGATTTATTTTGGGCCAAGAACAAAAAAATAGAGACTAGTTTAAAAAGATAACAGTCTAGTGTTGAATTGTTCTCTGCTGATTGGAAAGTAGTTCTTTTAATACTGTATTTTGCCATTAAAACACATATTTTCCATTGTAAAAATGTTTTTCTGGACCATTTTAACACACTAGTGCTTAGTTTTTTAAAAAATTATGTGAACTATACTGCTATGTAACAGAAGAAAAGTGTAGAAAATTATTTGCATGTCCTTAAATTATTCACAATATTTTGAGGCTTTCATTCCTTCCAGTTAGTGCAATTTATTTTTCTGTATGTCTCAGTAGCAAACAATGTTATTTAGACTCTAACCTGGCATGCTACAACCTCTGGCCCGCCCTTGAGCCCGTCCATTGCAAAGGTCTCCAGGTGCAGTTTGGGTAGCTGCAGGGTGAAGTCATTCCTACTTGCTGCAGTCCGTGACAGTGAGATCTGATCTCTGACCTAAAGGGAAAAAAAACAGCATCAATGGTAATTCCCCTTCAGACACATTAACTGGGATGAACTGGGTCCCCTTGAGCCCACTGAGTGGACTTGCATTGATCGCTGGACCTGAAATCCATGAATAAATTTAGGACTAATTGATTTTTCGTTGCAAATAAATCTCTAATTCAGAGTGCTGGGGGAGAATGTTAAGAAGAAAAAGCATCCTCCTGCTTGAAATGAAGAAGGGGAAAAAGAGTCACTGGAGCTCTTCTGATCAAGTGGTTTTGAATTATTTTTTCACAGCTCCACCCTGAAAAGGAAAAAGAAATAAAAAGAGAAAAAAATTCACAAAATTAGATACACACAGCAATCTAGTAATTATTACTTCCTTAGTAATTTAACTGATATTAGTGAGCAAATATAAAAAAGTAATTACACATACTAGTCTTTGAAAAGAAAGCTTTACTAATATCTACGCCGGAATAAAAACAAATAGTACAAAAGGACACTTAAAATACACAAATAAAAGTTTATTTACCCTTTTTAGTCTTTTAAAACTGCAGGATTTTATTTAATTTGGGTCTTAACAATAAAATATATGTAAGTATTTGTGACCAACTTGATCACAAAACTTCTAAATAACATAACTGAGATTTTTTTTAAATCAGTTGCATTTGTACTGCATTTAAGTATTCAGAATGATAGATAACAATACTAGCACATCACAGACTCAAGAGAAACACCAATTCTTCAACCAGTACAGAATCAAAGCCAATTGATAACACACTGCCACCTTCTGGGTAAATGAGAAAATACTCCCTCTATTACCTAAGTAAATGAAAGGAAATTCCTAAACAGATACCTCCAAGCTTAGTAAAAGCCTTAAGAATGTGATAATTAAGTTGGTATTTAATAAAAGTAACTGCTCACTTTTAATCATACATCTTAATGATAGGAATGTTCATATATAGGTATAACTTTTTGAATGCTTGAATAGTTCTTTAAAATCTGGTTCTTTTCTGCCAAATATTACCTGGCAGATATTACACATCTAGCTATGACTACAGAACAAGAGTTTTATGAGGTAGCAAAAATCAAGAATATATATATATATATGAGTAGCATTAATTTCCAAATTAAATATATTCATATATCTAGTTTGTTTGAACAGCCTCACAGGTAACATGGCAATCATATTTTTTAAAAAAGAACAAAAGCTCTCCATTTTTCTGTTCTACTTGAATATCTGTTAAAACTATTTAAGTTATATTTTACTCCATGAACAAGTTATATAAGAAAGCATAAACATCTCACAAAACTCATACTCTAAAGTGCTTCCCAAATGATCTCAAAACTGTCAAGTGAATAATAAGGCATTTTTCAAAGTATACAAAAAGTCTTGAGATCAACATAGCAAATATACTCATTGAAGACAATTAAAATATCTTCATATGTATGAGGTTTGCTGGTTTATGGAAACCCTATAGATAATAGTGTGAGTATTTTATACACTCTGAAGTTCCAATTCAGAATGTATTTTCATTTGTAACAAGCATTTTCCAGAGTCTTTAGTCAGGAGTGATAATGCTATTAAACTTAGCATAACGAAATAAATAATATTTTGCAAGAATATATGCTTTGAGTTTTGTATTTTGTATGTATGGATACTTTCCCTCTTGCTTTTTGTCACCAATGTGCACTCAGATAAAAGAAAACATTAATGTGGATTAGGTACTGAGAATTTATCAACATCAAACCACTAGTGTTTTGCCTTCTACCCTTCTGAACCATAGTCAATAGATCTAAATATTTTACTGCACCCTGGCCAATTCATTGTTTGATGTTTAAAAACTCACCCAGAATCAAAGAAAATTTATTAAATTTGAGCCCCCAAATGAGATACTATTAGCTTTGAAAGTCAAGTTTAACTGCGATATTGATGATTCTCTTTTTTCTGTGACAAAATTCACCAGGGAAATCTTGGATGTCAAAGTACAAAAGCAGATTGCTAATACGGGCAAAGAGGAGGAAAAACCACAAGCAATGTAGATATAACCCATTGCATGGTTCAAGCACTGGAGGTCCTTTAATTCGATTAATGTCAGAGACCATACTTTATCCATGATGTTTGACATACAGTGAACAATAAGCCATATTCTGTATTCTCTAAAGTCTGAGAGCTGCATTAAGCTGAGCATTTGTCACTTAAATTTGTGGTTTCTTGTCATTTTAATAATTTTACTATGACATTACTTAATTTATCAGTTAAATAATTCCTTATATTTATTAACTACAAACAAGTATCAAATGCAGCTGGGTTTTCTTACACCTTATAATAAATATCATAATTACATTTGAGTAATCTGTATGGGTTTCAGTTTGGGGCTTTTGGCTTTGTGAAGCTGAATCTTGTTTGGTTCCCTAGATTGCCCTGGGCTCCAGTTATCCTCCTGCCTCAATGTCCCAGGTAACTGAGCTATTATAGACATGTACAGCACCATATCGGCTTTAAAATGTAAGTGTTATTAGTTTAAACTCATTTAATTATAAATTATGTGAATTTTGGAATCTAAAGACAGTGACCCAGAATAAATAATAGGAATGATATCATAAATATTTCTACTAAAATTTTAAGGTCCTTTTCTTACTTTTAAATTAATCTGAAACTTTGAGAAAGGTCATCTAAAGTGTTCTTCAAATATTTGTAAGAAGCACTTTCGAAGAACTCTTGGAAATAGAAATCTAAGACTTCTTTTATTTTAACTGTATTTTTTGTCTTTTCTTTTTTGGTACTGGGGATCGAACCCAGGACATTACACTAGCTAGGCAAGCGCTTTGCCACTGAGCTACATCCCAGCCCTAGGACTTCTTTTATTTTAATAAATAAAGAAAATACAAGGAATTGATGCCAGGACAGGAAATAAAACAACCAGGAAGAAGGACCAAGAAAAATTAATAAGGCAGAAAGGGCAAGAATGTCCAGAAACAATGCAGAAGGCAAGTCTAAATTTCAGAATGGGAACAAGGGTAAACAAGGAAGAGACCTAACTGAGAGCAGTAAAATAGAACTCTCATCTTGCCACCAAAGATTTGTTAATAAGGAAAATAGACACAAAAAAAGTAAAACTTTTTTTCATTTCTTTCTTTTTTTATTGTCAAGGTGATGCACAGAGGGGCTACAGCCACGTAAGTAATAGTACACTTCTTGTCAAACTTGTTACCCCTTCCCTATTTTTCTCCCTCTTTCCCTCCACCCCAATCCCCCCACCAAGTTTTACAGATCATATCCAACATACTGTTTTTTGAGTATTGTTGTTGCATGGGTTCCCCTCTTCTCCTTTCTCTCCCCATTCTGTTGTTCCCCTTCCCTTCCCTAATTCAGATAAAGGTATATACAATATCAGGGTACTAAAATCAAATACAGGGACAACAGAGGATATACAATAAATCACACAGTACATTAAAAACAAAAACAACAAAGAAAAAGCTCTTGTGTCTCTTGGAGTTCATCTCACTTAGCATCATATTATATAGTCATATGTACATCGCTATTGAGCAATTCTGCTCATCTGCTAAGATTATCCTAGACGTATACTAATTATTGCAAATATAGGAAACCATGGGACCTATGTTTCTTTGGGTCTGGCTTACTTCACTTAACATGATTTTTTTCTAAGACTTTCCATTTCCTCACAAATGAGGCAGTGTCATTCTTTCAAATGAAAGTACTGAATTAATACACACACACACACACACACACACACACACACACATATCACATTTTCTTGATCCATTCATCTACTGAGGGGCATCTAGGTTGGCTCCATATCTTAGCTACGGTGAATAAAGCTGTGATAAACATAGTTGACCCAGAAACATTAGAAATCAAAGAAAGGTTGGACAAATAGGATTCCATTAAACTGCAGAGCTTCTGCATAGTAAAGGACATAGTTAGCAAGATCAATAGAAAGCCTACAGATTGGGAAAAGATCTTCACTAGCCATACAACAGACAAGGGCCTCATATCTAAAATATACTTAGAACTCAAAAAATTAAACCCCCCAACAACAAATCCTCAAAGAAACAACCACCCACCCAATTAATAAGTGGGCTAAAGACTTAAAGAGAGACTCTGAAGAGGAAATAAGAATGGCCAATAGATACATGAAGAAATGCTCAACTTCTCTGGCAATGAAATGCAAATCAAATCAAAACTACATTGGGATTCTACCTCACCCCAGTTAGAATGGCTATAATCAAGAAAGCTAGTAACAACAGATGTTGGAGGGGATGTGGCCAAAATGGATGCTACTGTACTGTTGGTGGGGGTATAAACTTGTTCAGCTACTCTGGAAAGCAGTTTGGAGGTTCCTCAGCAGACTAAACATAGCAATCCCACTTCTAGACATTAACCCAAATGACCACAAAAAAGGCAATACTAAAGCTACCAAACAATTTTTTTAAAAGAAATGATACTCAGGAGGCTGAGACCTGAAGGACTGTGGTTTGAAGCTAGTCCAGAAAGGAAAGTCTGTGAGACTCTTATCTCCCCTTAACTAGCTTTGTGCAAAAACAAGCAGAGGCAGTACACCCAGGTCCTGAGTTCAAGTACCAGCACCAGCACACAAAGAGGAAGGAAAGGGACAGGGAAGGGAGAGAGGAAGGGAGGGAGGGAGGG